ATTCCGGATCCTATTTCTGTGCCAAAATAGCTGCTAATAAATGTTTTGATGCTGGTGCTGATCTTGACTGATGTGATCCATTCACCGTGTCCCCGTGCCCCAAAACCTTCCCCCAAACCCCAGCCCCTGACCCCATTCCTGTCCCCTCTCTCAGCTCTGAATTCCTTCTGCCCCAAATCTCCGCCATTTTTCCCCAGAATCTCAGCTCTCATCCCCACACTTGGTGCCAGTTTTTGTGCCAAACCCTCAGGATTCGGTGCCCACAGCGGGGTTTGGTGCCCGGGGTGCAGATTTGGGGCTGCCCCAGAGGGATTTTCAGGCCGATGGTCACAAGGGAAGGGAGCGGAAATCTGGGGTGAAAAGCTGAGATTTGGGGGACGGTTCTGGGTAAACGGCCCTAGGGTGAGGGGAAGGACGAGATTTGGGAGAAATGGGCAAAACTGGAGGGAAAAATCGAGATTTGGGGCAGCAGGGCTGGAGTTTGGGGAAAAAAGGCCAGGGTATGAGGAGAAGGGCTGGGATTTTGGGGTAGGATCAGAGACTTCTGGGACATTTGGGAACACAAAGGAGAGGCCTTGGGACCACGGCCAGTACCAACAGCATAAGCATCAGCAGCATTACCACAACCACTGGTGTAACATCTGGCGCAGAAATAGGATCCGGAATCGTCGTCCTTGAGGCTGTTCATGGTCAGCGTCACCGAGCTCTGCCCGTTGTCCCTGGAGATCGTCACCCGGCCCTTCAACGATGGCGCGTAGTTGGTGCTGGCACCATTGTAGTAGATCCACGCGACCCACTCCAGGCCCTGCCCGGGTCTCTGACGGATCCAGTACATGTCAAAATTCCCGAAACTGAAGCCGGACCCTCGGCAGAGGAGGCGCAGGGACCCCCCGGGGGGCTGGAGGTCCCCCCCGGACTCCAGCAGGGTCACGGCCGCCCGGAGCCCTGCGGGACAGAGGGGAGATGGGGATGGGAACAGCTCAAACATTGACCCAAATCCTGACTCTTGAAGGGCCGGGTGACGATCTCCAGGGACAACGGGCAGAGCTCGGTGACGCTGACCATGAACAGCCTCAAGGACGAGGATTCCGGATCCTATTTCTGTGCCAAGGACGTTGGTGGTTACGGTGCTGCTCCTAATGCTCCCTGGGGATGCCATCCTCAATATAATCAGCACCGTAAGCTCCACCAGTGTCAGGAGATTTCCCGCAGAAATGGGATCCGGAATCCTCGTCCTTGAGGTTGGTCATGTCCAGCTCGGCCAATCAGGGCCCGGGAACGTGAGGGAGATTTAGGCTAAATCCTCAAAATTGTGGTAAAGTCACAAGTTAGGGCAATGGTGGCAGAGTTTGGGCAAAATTGGCCAAGATTTGAGGAGAATGGATGGGATTTCTGGGAAGGATCAGAGAATTCTGGGACATTTGAGGGCGCAGCGTTGGCGGCTCAGGACCAGGACCAGAAGCAGCAGCAGCACCAGCGCCGATACAACAACCAGAATCCACACATCTGGCACAGAAATAGGATCCGGAATCCTCGTCCCTGAGGCTGTTCATGGTCAGCGTCACCGAGCTCTGCCCGTTGTCCCTGGAGATCGTCACCCGGCCCTTGACGGAATCCGCGTACTGGGTGCCGTCGTCAGTCCAGATGCCCGCGAGCCACTCCAGGCCCTGCCCGGGTCTCTGTGTCCCTTTTTCCATCTGGCCACACCCATGCCGGGCCACACCCTGATCCGGCACCTCATCCCCATCTCCCCTTTTTCCCGCAGGGCTCCGGGTGGCCGTGACCCTGCTGGAGTCCGGGGGGGACCTCCAGCCCCCCGGGGGGTCCCTGCGCCTCCTCTGCCGAGGCTCCGGCTTCAGTTTCAGCAGTTTTGACATGGGCTGGGTCCGCCAGAGACCCGGGCAGGCGCTGGAGTGGGTCGGGAGCATCAGCAACACTGGTGGCAGCTCCGTGTACGCGCCGTCGTTGAAGGGCCGGGTGACGATCTCCAGGGACAACGGGCAGAGCTCGGTGACGCTGACCATGAACAGCCTCAAGGACGAGGATTCCGGATCCTATTTCTGTGCCAAGGACGTTGGTGGTTACGGTGCTGCTCCTAATGCTCCCTGGGGATGCCATCCTCAATATAATCAGCACCGTAAGCACCACCAGTGTCAGGAGATTTCCCGCAGAAATGGGATCCGGAATCCTCGTCCTCGAGGTTGGTCATGTCCAGCTCGGCCAATCAGGGCCCGGGAACGTGAGGGAGATTTAGGCTAAATCCTCAAAATTGTGGTAAAGTCACAAGTTAGGGCAATGGTGGCAGAGTTTGGGCAAAATTGGCCAAGATTTGAGGAGAATGGATGGGATTTCTGGGAAGGATCAGAGAATTCTGGGACATTTGAGGGCGCAGCGTTGGCGGCTCAGGACCAGGACCAGAAGCAGCAGCAGCACCAGCACCGATACAACAACCAGAATCCACACATCTGGCACAGAAATAGGATCCGGAATCCTCGTCCCTGAGGCTGTTCATGGTCAGCGTCACCGAGCTCTGCCCGTTGTCCCTGGAGATCGTCACCCGGCCCTGCACCGAGGGCGCATACCAGGTGTTGCCACCATCGTTCCTGATCCACGCGATGAGTTCCAGCGCCTGCCCGGGGCTGTGACGAACCCAGTCCAGGTCGTAGCTCCCGAAATCAAACCCGGACCCTCGGCAGAGGAGGCGCAGGGACCCCCCGGGGGGCTGGAGGTCCCCCCCGGACTCCAGCAGGGTCACGGCCGCTCCCTCATTCCCAAACCTTCACTGGTTTTGTCTCAAACTCCCCTGGTTTGGTCCTAGAACCCCAACAGAGGTTTCCAGTGTCGTAAAGTGCCTTAAACCCTGCAATTAACCCTGAAAAACATATTAATTAATTGGACGCCTCTGCCTGAGCTTTCCATCTCCCCATCCCCATCTCCCCTTGTTCCCGCAGGGCTCCGGGCGGCCGTGACCCTGCTGGAGTCCGGGGGGGACCTCCAGCCCCCCGGGGGGTCCCTGCGCCTCCTCTGCCGAGGGTCCGGCTTCAGTTTCGGCAGTTACACCATGTTCTGGATCCGCCAGAGACCCGGGCAGGCGCTGGAATACATTGCAGGGATCACCAACAATGGTGGTTACACCGCCTACGCGCCGTCGTTGAGGGGCCGGGTGACGATCTCCAGGGACAACGGGCAGAGCTCGGTGACGCTGACCATGAACAGCCTCAGGGACGAGGATTCCGGATCCTATTTCTGCGGGAAATACTACGATGTTTATGGTGGTGCTTATGCTGGTTATGGTGTTGATGTTTGGCCCCGCCCCCATTGCCGTGTCCCCCCATCCCCAAATCCCAGACCCTCCCCCAAAGCCCAGCCCTTGGCTCCATCCCTGACCCTGTATCCCTGCCCTGGACACGTCCTGCCCCAAATTCTCTGCTCTTGGCCACAAACTTGACACAAATCGTGATTGTGGTTTGGGGTCAGCGGGTGAGAACTGGGGCCAGGACAGAGCAAGGCTGGGATCAATGGTCAAGAGCTGGGCCTGGGGCTGGGCTTTGGGGGAGGGGTCTGGGCTGGGGGGCGGGGGGCACTCGGAGAGGGGCTGGGGCCAGCACCGTCACTTTCACTACGACCAGGATCAGCCGTGTAAGCCCCCGCGGATTTCCCACAGAAATAGGATCCGGAATGCTCGTCCTTGAGGCTGTTCATGGTCAGCGTCACCGAGCTCTGCCCGTTGTCCCTGGAGATCGTCACCCGGCCCCGCACCGATGGCCCGTACTCGATGAAACCACCATCCCTGTGGATCCTTGCCAGAAATTCCAGCCCCTGCCCGGGTCTCTGGCGATACCAGGCCATCCCAAAACTGCCGAAACTGAACCCGGACCCTCGGCAGAGGAGGCGCAGGGACCCCCCGGGGGGCTGGAGGTCCCCCCCGGACTCCAGCAGGGTCACGGCCGCCCGGAGCCCTGCGGGAAAAAGGGGAGATGGGGATGGGGGGATGGATTGGCTGTGGGCCAAAAGTGGGTGTGGCCAGATGGAAAAAGGGACTGGACCCACCTGGCAAGGCCAGCAGGAGAAGGATGAGGAGGATGAGGAGGTGTAAGGGTCAAAATTTGGGGCCAAGGCTCAGGATTTGGGGTCAATGTTTGAGCTGTTCCCATCCCCATCTCCCCTTGTTCCCGCAGGGCTCCGGGCGGCCGTGACCCTGCTGGAGTCCGGGGGGGACCTCCAGCCCCCCGGGGGGTCCCTGCGCCTCCTCTGCCGAGGGTCTGGGTTCGATTTTGGACGAACCAGTCTGATGTGGGTTCGCCAGGGGTCTGGGCAGGGGCTGGAGTTCGTTGCGGGGATGGACTAAGGGAATTTTGACATGTACTGGATCCGTCAGAGACCCGGGCAGGGCCTGGAGTGGGTCGCGTGGATCTACTACAATGGTGCCAGCACCAACTACGCGCCATCGTTGAAGGGCCGGGTGACGATCTCCAGGGACAACGGGCAGAGCTCGGTGACGCTGACCATGAACAGCCTCAAGGACGAGGATTCCGGATCCTATTTCTGTGCCAAAGAGTCTGGTGCTTACGTTGCTGACGGTGCTCTTGAATCCATTGACCTCCTCCCCGTCACCGCGTCCCCACCTGTCCTCGTTCCCCAGATCCTTCCCTCCAACCCTTGTCAGATGAGATTGGTCAGAATTTGGTGTGAAGATCAAAGCTTTGGGGGTAGAATATGGGAATATTGGCGTGTTTGTTGGCACAGCAATGAGGGTGGGTCTGCTACAGGCAGTGTCACCATAATTACCACCAGCAGCACCAGCACCAGCACCAGAAGATTTCCCACAGAAATAGGATCCGGAATCCTCGTCCTTGAGGCTGTTCATGGTCAGCGTCACCGAGCTCTGCCCGTTGTCCCTGGAGATCGTCACCCGGCCCTTCAACGACGGCGCGTAGCCGATCCAACCACCATTGTTGGTGATACTCGCGATGTATTCCAGCGCCTGCCCGGGCCTCTGGTGGATCCAGTTCATCCCAAAACTGCCGAAATCAAAGCCGGACCCTCGGCAGAGGAGGCGCAGGGACCCCCCGGGGGGCTGGAGGTCCCCCCCGGACTCCAGCAGGGTCACGGCCGCCCGGAGCCCTGCGGGAACAAGGGGAGATGGGGATGGGAACAGCTCAAACACTGACCCCAAATCCTGAGCCTTGGCCCCAAATTTTGACCCTTACACCTCCTCATCCTCCTCATCCTTCTCCTGCTGGCCTTGCCAGGTGGGTCCAGTCCCTTTTTCCATCTGGCCA